GCTGTAGGCAAATTTGGTCATCACACTTGCAGGGAAGGGGCATGCTACTTGTGTCTAACTGGTAGAGGCCAAAGATGTTAAGCATATCCAACAAAGTACAAAACAATCCCTACCCCCCAAACAAATAATTATTTGATTTAAAATGTGAATCATTTTGAGGTTTACAAAGCCTAGACTAAAGCCACCAAAAAATAATTTGTATCTTGTCAGCTATTATGAGTTTTATAATAAAGCTTAAAATGTTTAAGCTCAGTTCAGATGTAGAGCATTCCCTCATCCTTCTTAAGACCTTATGTCAGGGGCTGGGGATTTAGCTTAGTGGCCCAGCACTTGCCTGGCAAGTGGAAGGTCATGAATTCGATTCCTGGTACCAGAAAAAAATAAAAATAAAAAAAAAAAGAGTTTATGCCACCCACAGTACTGATAAAATATGGAGAGTATCAAAAACACAAAGTTATTTTTGCCAGTAAAATGGGCATCTCTGTGAAACAAGCAGCAGTGTGAAGTGGAGAGCTCTCCCATCTCTGGGACCGAGAGCGGGCAGAGGCAGCCAGGAGTGTGATTCCTGCCCAGCGGCGGGGAAGGTGGGTAATGGAATAAGTCTCACTGTATAAAGCAAGGCTGTAAAAATAAGCTGAGAAAAACTGCCACACTCATGCCTGTCAGGCAATGACTTGCAATGAGCTGAGTGTCCAGGAGGTAAAGGAAACATACGCAGACTCCTGGCCAGGAGCTGAGCCTTGACACTCAAAGCCTGGTCTGCGGTATCAGTACCGCCGTGGGAAAAGAACTTCCACCATCAGCATAAGATGTGGCTCTGGGCTCTGAGCCAAGGAGCCGGTGACCATACCCGCAAAACTACAGTATTCGCGAGAGTATCAGAAAATAAATCCGCACATCAAATTCCAAAACATACGAAGAAACTTCACAAGAAGAAAGTAACTTTTAAAAAATCGACAGAGTGCATCCCAGGATATTATAGAAAATGGTGTCCTTGCACAATTCAGAAAATCATGGCTGCAAGTGCTAAAATATAAGAAGACTGCATTCATTAAAAGACCACACTGAATGCAAACAAGATTAAGGTAACTCTTCATCTAGACACATGAGAATAAGTCAGCAGAATATCGAAACGTAGAAAGAAAGTTTTTAGAAAATTCCGGATACAGAGAAAATACTTAAAAAATAATAACCATCATCATTTTCCTTAACATTTTCATTGCCAGGAGATTTCTCCTTAGTAACAGTAGAGCCCAGAAAATGGAATAATACCTTCTAAAAGCTTAGGGACAATAACACTCAAGGTGAAATTATATATGCTTGGCTAAGCTACTTTTCATAAACATGAGCATAAAAATGCTTTCAGATAATAAAAATACCAATAGACTATATAGACAAAGATCTGTGTGTACCCTGCAAGACAAAGGTCTGAGTATGTACTAATACCTATCTCTACCTATATGTACATATCCTTACATATACAATCATGTATAATCATGCATATGTGTGTATCCAATATGTGTAAAATTTTACTTCTTAAACCAAGAGAGAAACAGAAAGAGGATAGATGTAGAAAACTCTATCATTTCAACAGAGAAATGAAAGAAGGAAGAAGAAAAGAAGAAAGGAAAGAAAATGGAAGAAAAAAAGAGACAAAAGAAAAGGATAATAGCCAGAAAATGTAAATATGTAAAATAGGAAAAACAAGTCTGGATGTATAATCATAGTAAATGTAAATGGGTTAAGCCACCTATTAAAAAAGAGATATTACCATATACATATATATATATATACACACACAGTTTACAATGACCATTTTTACATAGAAGTATGCAGAAAGTTTGGAAATAGGGGCTAGAAAATATATATAATGGCAATAATAATCCAGAAATCTCATGTTTCAATCAAAGAAATATTTTAGAAGAAAATAATTGATAAGGAAAACAGTGGGCAGTAAATAACAAAGAACATTCCACTAAAAAAATTACACTATTAAACCTTCATACATCTAAAAATTTAGCTTCAAAAAATAAAGTTTCAACTAACAAAATAATGAGAACTAGGTAAAATAGAACAATAATGGAAATTTTAAAATATCAGAAATAAATCTATCAGAAATAAATTCAGCAAAAAATATTAGAAAATGTGTTAGTGAGGATTCTGCTGAAAGACAGAACCAAGAGAATGAGGGATGGATGGATAGATGGATGGACGGATGGACGGACAGGACAGACAGACAGAAGAATGGGGGGGATTTTTTAAGGAATTGGCTCATGTAATTTTTGAGGCTTAGAAGTCCCCCAACAGGCTGTTTGCAAGGTAAAGACCCTGGGATACCAGTGGGATGGTTCAGTTCAAGTCCCAAAGTCTTAGAACCAGGGAAGCCAATTGCTGTCACTTCAGTTCAGAATCAAAGGCCTGAGAGCTCCTGCGAGTGGGACTGTACGTCCTAAAGTCCGAGTGCTGAAGACCACAGACTTCTGATGTCTAAGGGCAGGAAAAGAAGAATGTCCCGGCTCTGGGAAATAGAAAAACACAATAGCTCTTCCTCTGCCTTTTATTCTATCGGGGCCTCGGCATGGTGTGCAGTGCTCATTCACAATGAGAGCAGATGCTCCCCACGCAGCACTGACTCACCCCCACTTTTCTCCAGAAACACCTTCAGAAACACACCCAGGAGTAAGGCTTTCCCAGCTCTGTAAGAGTTCCTTGATCCAATCAAACTGACACCTTAAATTAATCATCACAGAACATTCAGAAGACATACTGTGACAACCTTAATCTCACAGAGCTAAGCAGGCACTTGCACCTCACAAATAGGGAACATTTTATGCTTATATATAGCATTTGCAAAATAAATTTATAGAATATTTTATAGTATTTTATAAATCTAAGTACACGATAAAACCTTTATGCACCTAGCCATCACCCAGGGCATGTACATATTCTAGTTGGTAGCTGTTGCTCTAGTCAACAAATGCTTGTGGAACATGTAGTATGTTCTATACTCCCTACTGCTTTAAAAGGGTAACACCTCCAAACTGTCCCCCACGTCCCCTACCTGCTCTCCCAGATGCAGTCTTACCTCTCCTTCACAAGAAGCAGAGATCAATTTCGGAAGATTTAGTCCTGAAAAATAGATGTGCATTTCTTTTATGTGTATTGTATTTATTCAGACTTTAAACAAAAGAACTGTAGGGTGAAAAGGAGTCACCATCTCTTTAATGGGTCAGCTGATTCTTGCATCTATCCCACCAGTCACTATGGTGGTTCTGGATTTTGTTCAGTGGCAGGAACTCAGATTTGTGTGCAGACAAGCTATTTTAAACCTTTTTTCTCACCTCAAAATTCACAAAAACATGAGCCAGACCCAAAGTATCTACAGGATCGATGAGTAGGGAAAAAGAACCTAAGATGTCTTCTCTCATTGGCAGCAGAATGCACAAGACCAGTTCAGACATGAATCTGACTTCATTGTTTTTCAGTGTGCAGCCTCTAGCAAACTCTTAATCTTTCTGAGCATGGATTTCCTCTTCTGTAAAATAGAGATAATACTGTGGCAATGCGATGCTTGTCTCCCAGGACTGTTGCGAGGATTACATGATATAATGTTCAAATGTCTATCGCACCAGCCTAATGTACAATAACCACGCTGCTTCTAAATCTCTCATCCTGAAACAGCGCACTAAAGGACCTCGAAGCAGCGAACAACTGTTCCTCATCAGGAGAGGCACCTTATCCTGTGAGTCAGCCCCACCAATTCCTAGGTGGTGACATCAACTTCCTGACCAGGCCACTATTTCTGTGCTGGAAAGTTCGCAGCCTAGACTCTGAAATAGAGCCTTAGGTATTAACGCCTAATAGAGTTAGGTATCTAGGGAATTTCATAGGTGCAGTAGGAAGACACAGAAACAAAATGAACTCTATAATTCTGAGATTTGAGAGTGAATTATACATTTTTTTTATCATCAGTGTTTTAATATTGAAAACATTCTCATCTAGGATAATGTAAAAAAGTGAAAGAAAAATCTTGCCTCACTGAACAAAGGGGGTTTAATGATACTGGCTTTTACAAAATGAAGTAAGATCCTGAAATGCTGCCGGTGAAAAATATACTAAGTGTATTTATAAGTTATTTATAAGTGTATTAATAATATAGCTTCTATAATTTTTAAGTGGGGATACCTTAAACTCAATACAGTGGTTTATAATTTAGTCTGTGTACTTCAATTTATAATCTTCAGCAAAATACTTTTACAGTAATAATATTTAACTGCATTTGCAAAGGCAAAAATAAACCACAAATATGAGGTAGAACATGGTTTGCCCTCTTATGATATGAAAATCGCATCTATTTAGCTATGTGGTTTGCCAGGTCTTTTGATTGATTTTTTTTTCCTATTTATTTGTTTTGTTTTGTTTTCTGTCTCCCATATCTTTCAAAAGATCCCAAACCAGATATTTGCCTTCTCTGTCAAGCTGGGTGAGAAAATACTTCCCAGGACCTTCTCCAAACATAAAGTCGAGGTAGCTGCTGCTCCGAATCAGCAGCTCCCCACAGCCTGGAGCAACACATCAGCTCTAGCACCAAGTTTGCATGTGAATTTTAGCAAGATTCCCTTTGCCCGTGGCTTCCTTTTGGTGTAATAAAGGAGGGAAAAAAAATAAAAACAGTGTTGCTGCTCCTCCTAGGAGCTGGAAGAAATAGCAATAGAAAGGCAAGGGACATGTCAGCCTTGCAAAGCCCTCTCTCTCTCCCTCTCTCTCTCTCTCTCTCTCACCAGGCCGTGGGCTGCATGAGGACAGGAGCCAGGACTGCAGCAGTGCCGGTGATGTCTTCATTCGTGAAGGCTGCGCTCTGTCTGTCGCCTTAGTTAAACTTGAACTCCGTTTCTCAGAATTCCTGCCCTACAGAATTCTGGGTGAGTGTGCACAGTTATGAGTAAAGTTCAGACAACAGAATTCTGGTACCCTAGTTAGTAAAAGAGTAAAAGGTTTTCTCAGCAGGTATCAGAACTTACAAAATTATTAAAAGCCAGAATATTCTAGACTTGTAGGAGCCACCCAGAACCTCCTGCTGTGCCGCTGCACGAGTCTATGAACGCAGGAAGCTGTCGGCCGCAGGATAACGCAGTCTCTGAGTCTTGCTCCAACTTATGTGAGAGAAGCAGAGCCTCCAGGAACGACACGGCGTGGGATTTATTGTGGGCTCTGACCTTGCACAATTGCGTGAGTGATGAAATGATTTATATATGACTATTGCTTCTGGCTGGGCTTTGGGTCCTCAGGTCAGAAGGACAGGTATTCGTGAGGGGAAGACAGATGCGAATCAGGAGAGGGCAAGAACACCAAGGGGCTCTGGGAGGAGTAACAGGAGCCCACAAGGAAACCGGAAGCCACTTAGTCCTCTTACCATTTACAGGCTTTAAACCTTACCGATGTGGGTTCCTACAGGAGAGGTTGGTGTTCCCTGTTCTCTGTCTTACAGTTAAATGAATGTCTGGCCCAGGAATTGGAGAAGTTGGAGGAGGAATGAACAGGAGCTGAAGGAGTTATGGTCTTAGCTGCTGCCCCACACCCACAAGGTGGACCAGCAGAGGTGCCAAGCAAGAGCAGCAGCAGTGCCTGGTGATCCTTACAGACCTGAGGCGAAGAGAACATGGCTACCACCCAACCTGCAGGTGTCCTGCGAGGTCTGACTGCCATGCTCAGGATTATGTGGAGATGCATAAATGTCCCTCTTTTTAAGGACTACATAAGAAAATCTATCAAGAAAAAAAGAAAGGGGAAAAATAAAAACTGCTTATTTTAATGTTAAATTAATTGACCAATACCACTACTTTTATCATAGTGGAAATCTCAGTGCTAAAGAAAATAAATCATTTTTGTTCCTCTAAAATGGAGAACAGTAATATCACCTCAGAAGGAAATACAGAGCACCACTGCAAGCCTTTCTGTCTTCACTGACCCATCCAACACATATTATTCTATATATCATCTACCATAACTGAGTAGTACTTAATTGTATAAAAACACCACATTTTTATTTATCCATTCTTCAGTTAATGGGCATTTGGGTTGTTTCCAAGATTTAGCTAATCCTACCTTTTGAGGAATCGCCACACTGATTTCCACAGTGGTTGTACCAGCTACACTCCCACCAACAGTGGAGAAGTGTTCCTTTCTCCCCACAGCCCCTCCAACATTTGTTATTGGTTGATTTCTTGATGACAGCCATTCTTTCCAGAGTGACATGGAATCTCAGTGTTGAAACCATCTGATGTGAACCACAGCTAGAATCAGTACATTTTATTTAGGGCAACATTTGCTGACGGATGCTCTGGGAAGAAGCAAGAATGAGATGAGCCCTACATTTTCCTTATTTATCTTTCTTATGGCTACAAAATCTGCATTCTTCCTGGCTGGGTCATGCTTCTAGAAATGACGCTACAGACATCAGTTCCCTGGAATGACCAGCCTCTCAGACCAGCTGGAGAGCTGGCAGCTCCACAACTCACCTGTGTCTTTTAGTACCAGGGAGTCACACAGAACTACAGCCAGCACTTCCACCCAGGACCCTCCACTGTGAAGGCAGATTACTACACTGAAGGCCAATATTTCTTTAAAATTACTTCTCTGGTTATTGTGAATAACCAGAAAAGGAAACCCAATTTGTTTTCTTTGTACTGTATTAATTGAAATAATATAGCATTATTATCCTTATCTCTAATCATTTGGGTTGAGAAAAGATGCTGAACCACAAGGTTCCACGGAGAATTGCTCACACTGGTTTGAGGTATAGAACTAGGGCCATTTGATCAAGCTGTGGTGGCTTCTAATTTGACCAAAATTTACAAGTCCAAACATTCAGAATGTTAAAGTAAAACTCCAGCCATAAGGCCAACAATCCCTGCAGTACTGAAGCTGCTGTCCTATAAAGGATTCTGCTATGATACAAACCACAGGAAAACACCTGGCAGCAACCCTGCTTACCTGAAGAATCGGGAAGAAGGCCTTGCAACTTCTATTATCGCAGTACTGTGACAGGTTAGTAATACTGTCATCAGATTTCCTGAAAATGAAGACCCTTAGCAATCTTCAGTGGCTCAGGGGAATTCCATTTACATAAAGAATAAAATGAGGTTTTAAAAACTTCAAAAAAAAAAAAAGGATTTCAGACAGCTGAGCCACTGGATACCTCAAGAAACACTCTGGGGTTTGAGGTCTGTGAAAGAGCATTTGTAGTTCTTCTATAGATGTGGAGGAAACTGACCATAGAAAAGACATCAGTCCAGCCCTACAGCTTGCAGTGGGATAAGCCAAAAGGAACCCTGAGAAGAGAATGTGGAGGACACTGAGAAACTTCATACTACAAATGAGAAAAGTTGAAGACATCAAGAGGAGGGAAAACCACAGAAACTAAACAAAGAAACTACATTTTTTTTCTCCCAAAACTTCATAAGGAAAAGTTTGTTATTCTTACTCTTTGCTCTTTTCCTATCACAGCAGCCTGGCTGGAAAGAGATGAAGTCAGCTGGAAAAAACACAATGCAACCTTCTGTGCGAGGGGAAGTGGGGGGGAGAAAGAAGCCCAAGGTTACCTCCTTCGTACCCACTCTCAAGGCACATTTTTATACCATTGTTGGCTCTGCATTTTCCCTCTGGTTGCCATAGCATCAGAGAGACAAATGCCTGCCTTCCATCTTTAAGCTGAATTCCTTACAAACAAAACTGTTTGCATCTGAGGACACTCTCACCCTCGCACCTTGTCAGAGCTCCTTTAGAAAAGAATGTCTCTTTTAAAAGTACAGGTGAAATGCACTGCATTCTTTTGAATATAGAAAGAACGTATTTTTCTTTTTGAAGGAGGAAAGGATGCAGAAAAATCACCCTTACATTGGAATGAAACTGTCCTAGGAGCCTTTCATCTACAGATGACCTGAAGGTAGCATTTTAGCATATTTACTCAGATGTGAAGTTAAATCCTTGCGTATACATTCACAATGAGGCATGCCGCTTTTTCTTCACTTTATTTCCTATAAATCCACTCTGGAAGCAGGACTATGAAACCCAGAAATCCTCTTTATAGAGCTTTAATATTTTGCTCATTTGTGTCTTACATATTGTTATAAAAAAATTGAGTAAGATAGCAATCTGGCCTTTCTGCCCTCATGAATCTAAAAGTTGGAAAGAAGCTAGCAGAAAAGGATGGGTGAAGCACATGAGGGAGTGCTTGCAAAGGATGTGTGCTCTCCATCAACTGACACTACTAGAGAAGGCACAGGTGGCTTCACATATTAGCCTTGGTTTGTTTAAAGAAAAAAATCTGACAAGATAACTATAAAAGTCATGACTTTCCCTTCAATAATTACATGTTCTCAGTAAATGTGAGTATACTTTACAATTAGTAATCCATTAGGCCATTCATTCTTCTGAAACAGATCAAGATTACTAAGCTAGTACTGTAAACCAGGAAACCAGACTCTGAAGTATATACAAGCACATGAAGACAGTGTGCTATAGTGAAAATAGATTTTTGCATCAACTTAGTGTTTCAAAACTAAACTTACAGGGGGCTGAGGATTTAGCTCAGCGGCACAGCACCTGCCTGGCAAGCACAAGGTCATGAATTCAATTCCCAGTAGCAGAAAAGAACAACAACAACAAAAAAAAGAACAACTAAATTTACAGAGGGGAGAAACCCCACCCCTGCCCCCACCACCATTGCAGGACTGACAGTCAGGCTGGGTGAGCCTCAGGAGCCTTGGGGAGCTCTTGGGAGGGGAGAAATCCTGCCCCTGCCCTTGTCCCTCCCCATGGTCATGGCAGTGATTGTAAGCCTGGTGAGCCTCAGGAGTCTCAGTGAGCCACTAGGAGGGGAAAGCCCTACCAATGCCCTTCCACCATCCAGGGAGCCTCAGTCTGGAGGAACCCTGGTGCCTGGCCCATACTCCTACACTGCAGATCAGGCAGCCAGGGCAGGAACTGCCTGGGACATGGCAACCATCTCATCCAGAAAAACCCAGGGTAAATCTACTCTAATAAAGGAAAACACTTTGCATACAAACTCCTAATTTATGATAGGTTCTGTTGTATAAAAATAGACTTTGCTCCTGTGATCTAAAGTACAAAATCAATAGTTACCACAGATTGTCAGTTTCTAAATTGTGCTACTGTAGCTAGGATGTTGTATCTATTGTACTCAGTTTTTCTCCCTTGTGTAACAATATTGGGAAGCTCAGGGGTAATAACCTCACCACAGCCCTACACCAAAAGACTGGGGACTGAGCCAAACAGAAACCAACATCTCACTCTCAATTAACTGAGAAGGTAGGATGTTGGGACAAACATAAACCAAAAATCTCCTACATACAGAAGATATTCCTGAAGTACAGACTATTCCTGGAGAGGCCTTTGTACTAGTGATATAGCTACCTACTACCAAAACTCACAAGGATCACCACAGAAAACAAAATTTAAAAAAATTTAAATAGAAAATATCAAAATGAAGGAGCAAAATGCAATTTCAGGCCTCCAGCCCACCCAGGACAAGTCCAGGAGACATTGACATAGAAGAGCTTGGAAGTCACACACCTGAAATTTCTGAAATGATAGCAACTGAAGTAAAGAAACAACTCCATCAGATTATAGAAGAAATCAGATCAGAAATAATCTCTCAGTTAAAAGAAAAGAAATGACAACCATAATGAAAGAATTGCTTAGCATATCTAAAGATATAGATTAAAAAATAGAGGAGCATAGAAAAATGATGAAAACCTTGAATGAACAATATAGGAAAGACAATGCATGAAACAGGTTTAAAGAGATATCCAGGAAATTAAAAATTCCACTGAAGCTGGCAGAACCTCTTGAATGAAACTGAAGACTTTTGCACCTTGAAGATAGCATTGCAGCTAATGATTGTGAGAGAAAGGATCTCTTAAAAATAACAAGAAACCAGGAAATAACAATTCAACAGCTGCAAGATGATGCAAAGAAAAATAATATAAGACTTATAGGTGTCCAAAAAAGCAAGCATCAACAGTAATGAAATAAAAAGACTATTTACAGAAGTAATAGCAGAAATTTTCCCAAGCATGGGAACAGAATCTGACATACACTTAAGTGATGCACATACAATTCCAATTAACCTTAACAAAAATAAATCTACACCCAGATATATAATAATCAAGATCCCAGAAATTCAGCACAAGAACAGAATATTAAAAGATGTCAGAAAAAAAGAAATAGATCACTTATAAAGGAAATCCCATCACAATCATGGCAGCTTTCCCAACACAAATCACCAAGTCAAGAAGAGCTTGTAGTGAAGTATTTCAGGTACTGAAAGAAAACACTTCCAACACAGACTGCTGTACCCTGCAAATCTATCCTTCAAAATTAATGGAAAAATAAGATACTTCCACGACAAACAACAACTGAAGAAATTCATCATCACCAAATCAACCCTATAAAGATTACTTAAAGATATTCTAGAAAGTGATAAAAATGACCACAATTCCAAAAACAACAATAGAAAGGAACCACCAAGCAGGACAAACAATTAGACAAAAGGGAAAAGTAAGGCACCAACAACAGGAAAATAACGTGACATAAAGAAGTCAACACATATCAGTTATAACCATCAATGTAAATGGCCTCAATTCACCAATCAAAAGAAACAGACTGGCAGAGTGGATCAAGAAACAAAATGCAACAATGTGCTGTATACAAGAAACACAAAGGCAAAGGATGGAAAACAATACTCTACATGACAAGAAAGCAGAAAAAACAGGGGTAGCTATTCTGTTTTCAGACAATGTGAACTTTAAACCAAGAATGATCAAAAGAGATAAAGAAGGTCACTACATACTTGTTAGGGCAAAAAGGCAAGAGAAA